AATTTTGGTTCTTGTTATGTACTGTCAAGTTGGAACCAATCCACAGCTGACCCTCCCGCGGGTTTTCAGAGGCAGTCACTCATGGGGGAGGACAGTCATCATTACTGTGCAATGTAATTGGACAGTAATTTTTTACTGTTGTTGTAAATGTGCAGTATCAGTTAAGGAGACAGTAGATAAGGGAAGAGTGAGTGTACGTGAATGTGGTCAAGGCAGCCCTTCAGGACCCAGTCCATTCCTTCTCCAGACATCAGTCTTTCCATTTCCCACCTCCACCAACCCCATCATTCAAATTTTATGCTCCAGTCACTTTGAACCACAGACAGGTCCACAACAGGTCTTTCTTGCTTCTCTATACCTCTGCATATGCTATTTCCTCCTTGGAATTCTCTTCTACTCTTGCCCTCTAGCTCATTTTGTCAGAAAAGAACTAGATACTTTTTATTTTATTTTATATTGGTTTGCTTACAAAGTTCATAAACAGTGTGTTTCACACTATCCTTCATTCACATTGTATCATACAATTAGTCCCATTCACTATGCTTTATAAAATTAATCACCATTGAACTATGTCCGCCATTACCCTAGAAGAACTAGAAGCCTTTCTAGACAACCCAAATCTGGATTAATGTTCTCTGATGTGCGCCTGAGCCCCTAGTACTCTCATTGAAGCACTTGTCCCACTCTGTTGTAATTGCCTTAAATAAAGTGTAAATCCTGAAGCTGTGACTTGTACAAATTTGTGTGCTGAGCATCTTGCCTGTTATTATTTGCCATTGAGTTGAATCAGAATTGCAGAAACCCTGTAGGGAGAAATCTTCAGGGGAGTGGACAGTCAAGTCTTTCTCCCATGGAGCTGATGTATGTTCAAATCGCCAGCCTCTTGGTAAGTAGTCAAGCACTTAAAGCCACTTCCAAGAGTGTGTCCATTAGCTTTCTAATTTATCTTTTCTATGTCACTTTGTCCAATTTCCCATGTGAAGCCTTTTAGGTGGGCTTTGTCTTTCTCAAGGCCATCCATCCCCCTGCTTCATACTGAGTGAATGCCCTGCCTAAATACCTGAGCCAACGTGACCCCAAGGATCATGACGAATCAAGGTCCCAGAGAGTGCTCGTTACAGGAGGCACAAGCACATTCCAGGCTGCACATCTGCCTGCTTTTTTTTCTCAACTACATGGGCACCAGAGGGAGCATAGGCACGAATGAATCAATTCTCTCAGGAACAGCCCAATGAATTTGGTGTAAGAAACAAAATAAAGCAACAAACCTATCAGTTAATCTGATAAAAATTCTTTTAATTCAGAGGTAATGTGGAATATAAATATTTTTTCTTAAAAGAAACCAGTTCATTTTCTGAGTTTCAAGGGATAATGTACACCTCACAGAATTCTGCAACTATAGTGGCTAATAAATTATCAACATTTGCTTCTGACCAACAAAACTTGCCTTTTCATTTTGAAATTTTATTCCTACAAATTGATCTTTGTAAGTGAACAAAAGTAAAGAATGCTCATTGCAGCATCTTTTGTAAGAAAGACAATGCAAACTAATGGAAATATCCATTGATATGAAACTAGTTAAATAAATAATGACACATTAATGATATGTTCCTGCGGAAAAAAACAAAATAGACTTTTCTGTGTTGGTACCAAAGTGTCCAGGATATATCGTGATGTAAAAACAAGCAGCTTATAAAACAGAAATGTATAGGTGATCACCTTTAATAACAAAAATGTTCATTCATACTTAACGAGGTAAAGGTCAACATTTGTTGAACGTTTAATGTTGCTAGGCATTGTTGTGTTTAACATACATTAACTTCTTTCTCGATGACATGTTGTTGCTAGGTGCTGTGAGTCAGTCACGACTCACAGTGAACCTATGAACAACAGGCCCTGTCCTGCACCAGCTCACAGACCCATTGCCACAGTCCTTGCACGTCAGCCCATCTTGTGTCGATCATCTTCTCTTTCTCTGACCATCTATGTTTCCAGGCATGATTTTTTTCCCCCAAGGACTGGCGCTTCTGGACTACATACCCAAACTATCTGATACTATCAGTTTACAGAGGAGCAAATAGAAATAGGAGTTGGACTCTTGTTCAAGGTTGGCAGCAATTAGCAGAGCCAAAATGTGTTTTTTATCAAACTGGCTTCAAAGAATAGAACGATAGTGGTTTTCTTTTAAGAGATAGGAATTGATGGGATTAATTTGTTACGTATCTTTGTAATGTTTGACTTTTAAAGTGACAATTCACAAATATTACTTTTTGGGCATAGGAAAAAAAGGTTTTTAAATGAATGATTATTTAAAAAAAACAAAAAAAATGAACTGGGGGGGAATGTACAACAATGAATGAATGGAAACCCTACCTTTTCTGTAAACTTTCATTAAAATAAAAATTAAAATAAAACTAGATTACATTAAAAAGATAAGAAGAAAATAAAATAAAAACTGTTACCCTGTTCTCTGGCTGGGTGTGGAATAAAGAAAAGGGTGTTCAGTCAAGACCAGTGTGGCGTCTGTCACAGTACTGGCTTCTGCAAGATCCTCTGGCTCTTTTCTTTCCCTGGAAGGAGTTCTTAGGGAATTCAATTAAAGGTTTGGGCACTGAGGTGCTTAAAGCTCGAAACTCTGTTAACTGCTCTTAAGTTTCGGGGATTTTAAAAAGTAATAATTTCTACAGCTGGATGTTTAAAAACTAGTAATTTCTTCACTGTTTCCGTTCCACTCACCTGAGGCTGTGGGCAAAGGGGTGGTACTCACCACACGAGCGTTTCTAGTATGAGTCAAAGCTGTGAGCAGGTCTGTCCCATATTCCTCCACTCCACTAAATAGAGGCCTAACAGCAAGCCTGAGCCTGGCTTCCAGACTTAATAGGACAAGGACCAGCGATAAGGCAAGGGCAAGCCCAAACTGGACTCTAAACCCTAAGCTGCTATTTCCCTACTTGGATGATACTGTGACTATTAAAAAAAAACAAACAAACCCAAACACCACCATTCCCCCCTAATAAGATACATGATTATAAAACTCAACCATAACATTACTATCCAGAGATAATAAATTTTAATATTTTGCTACATTTTTGTTGTTTGGTGCCATTGTGTATGACTCATAGTGACCCTATGAACAACAGATCTGACCATGTCCTCTTCTGTGGCATCCTCGTCACCTCTGACATACTTCAGCCTATTGCTGCAGTCACTGTGTCAACCCATCTTATTGAGGGTCTTCCCTTCTTTTGCTGACTCTCCACTTTTCCAACCATAGTGTCCATGTCGATGGATTATCCTATCACGGCAACATACCCAGAGGATGTGCAATGAAGTTTCACCACCCTTGCCTCTAAGAAGCCCGCTGGCTATACTTTTTTAAAGACATAATCTGTTTGTTCTTTTGGAAGTCTATGGCATACCCAGCACTCTTCTCCAACACTATAGTTCAAAGGCATCAACTCTTCTTCTGTCTTCCTTAGTCATTGTCCAGCTCTCCGACACATAGCAAGTGACCAGGACCTCAATCAGTTGCCCCTTAGTCTTCACACTTGAAAGCAGACTTGCCCAATGCAATATGCCTCCAGATTTCCTGACTACTGGTACCAAGGGTGTTGACTGTAGATCCAAGTAAAAAAAAATAATAATAATTTTGGATCTAAGTAACATATATAAGGTCTAGTGGCCTACTGGTAAGAAGCTATGCTGCCAATTCAAAGGTAAGCAATTCAAATCCACCAGCTGCTCCATGAAAGAAAGATGGGCAGTCTCTTCCTATGCAATTTACTGCCTCTGAAAACCTGAAGGAGGGTGACACTATGAGCCAGTTCCAACTCTGTAGTTCCTAACAACAAATAATAATCTCCATTCCCTGCCACTGAGCCAATTCCGAGCCTGAGCCACCCTCCAATGGCTTTCTGAGGCTGTAAATTTTTATGGGTGACTTACTATCTTTCTACCAGGGAGCAGCTGGTGAATGTAAACCATTGACTTTTCAGTTAGCACTGCAACATGGAGTGCACTATGCTTCGTGTATGTGTGTGAGACAAAGAAGGAAAAAAAAAATAACAATTGGGCCATACTATGTAGTTTTTGCCCCTTTTTGTCACCCAATATATTTTACATATTTTTTATATTTTATTATTTGTTTGTGGGCGTACAATCAAATCAAGTCAAGGACTGCAGCCTCCAATATGGATTGAGGCTCAATGTCAAGAAGACAAACATTCTCACTACTGGATCAATTGGCAGCATCAGGATGGATGGTGAAGAGATTGAGATTGTACACAGCTTTAGTTTGCTTGGCTCCACAGTCAACACTCTTGGCACCAGTAGCCAGG